CAACATCAATTTACTTGGTTTTTATAATGAACATAGTAATGTTTGTCGAAACAAAGTATTAAGAGGCTTTAGAAAAAAGAGTGCATTCAATTTGAAATAGTATTTTTTTTAAATACCGTTGCAAATAGTGTCTACGATAGGAACATCAAATTGTCAAAATGTTTATGTCAATATTGTTATAAAGATCTTTAGTCGAAATATGCTAGACATTGTACATGTTATACTCAAAAGTACAACTCGCAACTTAGTAATGTTCATCATATTTTGGACTCATAAAAATTTAGGTCATCCAACACTTTGTTATTCATCAAATCCCACAATAATTGCACAATGTGCAAAGAAATTAATCTTACATCGAAGCGATAAAATATGTTTATCAATTCTTTACCATTCCTTCTTATTTTCTATTTATTTATAACATATCCGCGCCTTTGTATTAGGGTAATTTCGTCGACCAAACAAGGGGGTTTTACTCTACTATCAAGACATGATAAATGTTATAATCACAGACATAAAATTGTAAAAATAATATTGTAAATAAGTGTCATTTTTTGATCTTTTTATAATAATAATAATAAAATGTATATAATTACTTTCATCATGTAGGTACGTTTGCTACTTGTTGTATAAAAATTAAAATTGTAATAATATAAAAATTAAATTCATTAATTGCGATACTAATGCGAGTATAACGTTTCAACATTGATAACTACTATACTCATATATAAATAATCTTTTAACAATCACGTGAACCAAAAAAACGATTACTGTGATTATAACATCAAAATTAGTCATTTATTAAAAATATAGAAAATAGGAATTGGAAAAACATAAAAAATATTTGAAATTATTTAATGAATTTCATAAAAGGATTCAAATTAAAAAGAATATTTTACCATACACGAAACACAAAGAAATATTTTAACAAAATATTTACAATAAAGCAACAGCTATAATTTAACAACATATTATTTACACGTAAAAATAATATTCTCCATAAGAGAAACCATTTCGCTCGACGTCTCGTCATCATATACTATAATACAAATTACTTTGTCATAACAGGTAACATCTGACTTTCATACTATAATACACAACGTTCACAACGCCAAAATATGTATTTTATATTTCTATACAATATTGCACGCGGTATATTTCTATTGTACATGTGTGTGTGTACTGGGCGTACGAGTTAATAAGATATTTTAATCACTATTTTCTCCATCACAGGAAGCTACGAATTTCGCATCGATTCGTTTTTCGTTAAAAATTAGAGCATAATGAAAGATAATACATAGATAAATATTTATAAAAGACCATACCTAAAGTTTCTCAACGAACTTAGAAGTAAATATCATCAACGAAACGATTTTATACAACTCGAAAACATCACTAGCACTACTAGACTACATTAAAGATGTCTATAAATACGCGTATGTACTATATTAGTCTCACGAATGTGAGATTTACAGCCGCAGAGGTACCACGTAGACCGTAACTCGGAACGACGACGTTCGTTACGCTGGAATCTAAGGATCGTCGGTTAACGTCCATCCGATGAAGCGAGAAATTAATAAATGCAAACTTCAGCTCGACCCGGAGCGCACGCAGCGCCCAGTGCGCCAGCGGGCACTTCACTGCGACAGCAGCTTCTGCAGCAGCGACGCCTTACTCGCCGCCACACCCGCGCGCGTCTCATCACCGTCCGCCGCCGACACCGCCTCCGCCGAGCCCGCCTCCGTAGTACTCTGCACGGAAACCAAACATCTTACCCTGTACTCCCCTCACACAAGCTTTTACCGAAACGTGCTCCTACTGGAAAATAACATAATGTGCAAGTATTATGTTCCTAACTTTACCTACTGCGAGGAGACTCTTAAATAATAACATAAAATTAATATTGATTCTTTACATTGATTTGTTAGTTACTTTTGCGAAGGTTTTTAAAACACTTACATAAACGAATTTATTGTATTATTGGAAGCACACTAGTAAGTTAGTAGTCTCGTCGACGTTATGTCATTGAAAAGTATTGTTTAAATCGTTTTAAACAACAATATCATAGAAGTAGCCTACACATGGTAAAAAGTGTGTATAATCTTGATGATGTTACTATATTCATGTAGAAAGAGGTATAATATGAATGTAAATAAGTATCCATATCCTATCCCTATAGTTATAATTAATTATTTCATTTAATTTCTTGAAAACTTTCGAAATTAATAATTATTTTTATTAGAAATCGTAAAAAAAGTTTGATTAAAATCATATTGGATAAATTACATTACGTCAAAATATCACAATGGTTTCATTAATTAAATTACATAATGTAACTAAACACTGTTATTTTCACTACGTAGTATTAAGGAACTGATAGCATCTTTGATTTAGGAAAGCAGAAGATAAATGTTTACTGTATACGAGGAACGATCAAAATATAAATAACTTGACTTTAGACTTAACAACTTTCTGTGGAAATAACACCCATGGGTATGCATTGAAAAATGTAGCAATAAGTACTATGTATTCCTGAAAGCTTGTGCATCTCCGAGGTCTAGGATCGGCAGGGTCTATTTACTTATACTTTTATAGTAATAGGTATATTTACGTGTACAGTTGTACACCTCTTATTGAAAATAGTTACCGCAACTTTACCATGCATTTAAAAGAAAATAAATTACTCAAATCTAATCCAATAAATAACAGTATGATTTTGATCGCTTCTCGCACAAATGTAATCTCTAATATGTACTATAAACCGATTCAATTTTTAATTACCGCCATGCAATCTTCTCCTGTTTAACTACGAAAACGTAATCAACGAAAATGTTCTAAAACATTTTATAAGCGAACAATAAGCGATCTATTGCAAAAATATAATGCTGTTGTTTTATTACTACAACATCACAAAACCTTCACCACACTTTAGAACTCTGCGCATGCGATTTGTTCTCCCCGTTCTTTCATAAGCTCAACCTTTATATAAAGTCAAATCCTATAAGCCGGTGAATTATATTTTACGTTTAAATCAAAGTATCTAAGAAAAAATATTTGAGATGATTATTTTTGAAATTGAAATAGATTTCACTATAAGAGACATTATTGTACATCACATCACAAAAGCTTATTCAAAATTTGGAAATGTATCAATTTAAGCTATACCAAATTGGCATCTCTGTATAATTTGTTGTTAACTGTTTTGCTATTTGATTAATTAAATACTTGATTGTGAATCCTATATCTAAAATACAGATCATAATGATGCCAGTGTGGTAAGCGACCTTGATACACTTCACTCAGCTTCTAGAATCAAGATGATCGAATCGACAACACACGCAGCAGAGCAGACGTAATAATTATAGGTAGGTCTACAGAAAAATGAAAACCCATAAAGTAGTGAAGTGACTAGATGATATTTTGTAATCGCTGAACGTGTCCCAAGCTTACCGGGGTGCTCTGTTGCGATTCCCACGAATTAGTAGACGCCGAGGTCGCTCGGCCCCCCACCACACTGCCGCCACCTACGTACGTACACACGTATACATTGGCAGTGGTTATCCCCTACACTGACAATGTTCCAAGAAAACGTGCTACCGAGAGCGACGTTCCTTTATTGTCCCCAACTGACATGGCTATGGAGAGTTCTGACATAATCACTTATAGACAGTGCTGCCTATAAGGGTCATATAATCGAGTAAACTTTTGGTATTGGTTTAAAGATTACTTTGAAATGTGTAATAAAATCGAATATTCTTTATATTATGTCTAATATAAGGCTTAGGTTTTAATAAAGTTGAAAAGTAGAAAAATAAGAACACCTAAAATTTTTACTAAAATGAATTTTGAAAATTTACTAAGGATTGTCTAGTTCGCAGGCAGAAAACAAACTATTAGAGCAAAGGTAATTTTGACTATGAAAACAATTGTTATAATTTTCAACTATTTGTTATGAAGTCACGAAGCTGCTTTGATTAATGTTTTCATGTTGTTTGGCCTTATGTTGCTGAAATCCCTTTGATGTTCGATATTATGTAGCATAGTTTTTGGCCAGATATTTGTAATTTCGCCCTGACTGTTTTAGTCTTTCTGTATCTATGTCTACTCTAACCTTGTTCATTTCATTTTGATTTTGGGCATCCAAATTCTTGTCCTTTTTATCTTGGAAATAAATAAATGTAAATACAAAGATTGTGTTCATAACTTCGTAATGATTACATAAAGAGTTCAAATACATATTATCCCCGATTCCCACAGAGCACATAATTAGAAAATAGTTAGGACGTTATGTCTGTTCTGCAGTTAACATATCATGATTTCAGAATAAAAACAAGGAAATAAGTAGTAATCATCGACACTTATCATTGGGAACACATCCACAACCGTCGACATTAAAGAAGAGTCCTCTATCTAAACAATGTGGGGTCACGGTGTGTTCGCAGAGAGTGCAGTGTATACGAACCCGGAGGAGTCATGTCGAAGCTCATGAGCGGGTCCATGTCGGGCGGCTGCAGCGGGTGCAGGTCGGGGCGCGCGCGCGACACCATGTTGCGCAGCTCGTTGCGCACGAACTCCGACGCGCCGCCCGCGCTGCCGCCCACCACGCCCACGCCGCCCACGCCGCCCACACCGCCCACACCGCCCACGTTGCCCGCACCGCTCACTCCACCACCGTTACCTGCACCTAAAAAACATTATTATTTAACCGTGAACTTACGTCATCCGTTCGACTCGTAGATTGTAGTTTACCTTTCTGTGGACCCTACACCGAGGCATTTAGGTAAACATCGAATAGTTGGATGTTCTTTTAGGTAGCGCGGTAATTCTTAGCTCGATCCAAAGTTATATCAGGTAAGCGAAGGATTTTAAAGCGCAGAATGCAATAGATTATTAATCATGCAGAGCGATAGGAATCGGAAGAAAGTACTGGCGCTACGTCGCGAACAAATTCGACTACTACTCGGAATCTTACCTCGCTCACCGACGCGAAGCCGACAGTCGAATTAATCAATTTGACATACTTCCGAAACGCTAATCCCTGCTCGTATTTCGGAGATGCCTGACGTAAAACCATGAGAATCGTTCGTATCGGGCGTTCGTGTCGCCTCGTTCCACGCAGTCTGCGGCGGGGCGGGGTACTCACATGCGTGCTGGTGGTCGAGCGGAGAGGCGTGGGGGTGCGGCGCGAGCGGCGCGTGGTGCAACGGCGCGAGCGGAGCGTGGCCCAGCGGCGCGCAGCGCGCGTACTCGGCGCAGTAGCCGGCCGCGCCCGCGCCGCCCTCCTCGTAGTAGCCTCCCACTGCCACACACGCCGCGATAAGTACACGCTACAGCGAGGCGCCGACCGCAATGCCCGACCTACCTATTCGATGCGCCTGCCGGGATCGGGGGTAGGGATCTCGCGGGTCACGACTCGAGATATCGTCGATGCGCGAATAGAGTCGATCTAACGCTGGCTAACAGCGTCGAAGATACGTTTACCGTATCCGAAGGGCGTGATTGCCCGCGCGCATACCGTGGCGGCGAGACACTCGATATGAGTCTACGACCGCGAAGGTTTGTCTCTCTCGTCGTAGCTAGTATCTTGCATTCATAAGATTTATAAAGATACCGGATAGTGAAGCCATAGACATGCAATTAGATTTTTGTCTAAATTTTCTGGCGAATTGACCAGATCTGGCAGGACACGCTATTTCTAAAATTCTACGGGACATGCGTTTGTTTTATAATAATTATCATGCTCTTGAAGTCAAATAAAATGTATTGTCAAATTTCTAATCTATAAATATCTACCAAAATGTAATGTATCTTTATTAGTATAATTGAAAAGCTGTACAAAAACCACTGGATAGTAGTATAAATTCAAAAAGAATTTTAATTATATAAATATCTGATCACCGTAATAAGTAAAAATAAGCAAACTACTTCCAAAACAATGTAAAATATAACCACAAGACCACCCACCCTCTTACATGTAATATAAAACATTTTCCAATATTGTACCTCTTAATAGACAGCGCGCGTTAGTACAGTCATTTATCGTTAAAGTATTTTGAGATATTATACTCAAGTACTTTAATAATAAATTCATAAAAAAGAGATTTGCGCATTTCAAATCGATAGAAAAACAAGTAATTGTTTGAAATGCGCAGTGTATTATCAAATAGATGTTATACTTTTAAATTTTGTCTCCACAAACGTATTTAGGGGTATGAAAATACTTTAACCATTTTAATAAATTAGGGGCACAATGAGCATACGATTGTGGAACAAAATCGAATTGAAATAACTGTTTAGCACATGTTTTGAATAATATCCTTTCATTGGTAATACAAAATAGAATAGTGAGGACATTAATCAAAACATTGATGTAACTGTGAGAACGCCACTCATCCTAATCCTTCATTATGTTGTATCTTGCGAAAATGAATGAATTATTTGTTGTTATCGCGTAAGTTTAGGGTTAAAATTGAGAGAAGTAAGTACAGTGGTACGAGTATGGTAAAGAAGTGGAAGAGTGACGGGGTCTAGTCCTCGGCAAGAACCATAACCAGATTTCTTGTGACGGGGTAAGTTCGCGCATTGATTTCTTATTATTTTATTCTTACTGCCATCATTTTCTACTAGGAAATAAATTAACGTAAGAATCCCGACCCGCAGCTGCGGACAACGTAGCGGGTTACCGGGACTCCGGCTCGAAGTAGGATAAGAAACAGGGTGGTTTTAAGTCAGTAAGAGTCTAGACAGTTCCTCCCGCCTTACTGACGGCAGGATAAGAGACTAGATGATTTCACCCCTCAAAAAATACACAATGCGCAAAGTTATCCCTATCAAGAGGAATATGGGTATGGTTGGTGCGAGGTGGCCGCGTGGTGCAGCGCGCAGTACGCACCGTGGTGCGGGCGCGGCGCGCGGTGGTAGGGCGGCGCCGTCGGCGTGTGCAGCGACGCGCCGTGCGAGTAGCCCGCGCCCGCCACCTGCAACACGGGGCTCGTTACTGGGGGACTTACGTGGCCGCACTCACTGGGTACGTGCATGTTCGTGTTACAGTAGAATAACAACAATATTAAATGTGTTTTACTAGAAATATTTAGTATACTGACATGAGCTAGTGGGGGAAAGTTCTCCTAGTTTCAAGGGGATTCTGGGACTTAACGAGCAGCGTGTGCTGCGCATTCACGCGTCAGTTAAGCCGTATTGCAATTACGTATTAGGACGTCTTACGATAGTTATTATATAAAATATTTTTATTGCATATAAAAATCTAAACAAATACCAAACTAAAAGTGTTACAAAATATAGTTTGCATAATACTGACACTGATTATAATTAAAGTTGTCTACTTACACTAAGTTGTCGACTCAACATAGGATTCTGTTGAGACGTGGTTATTTTATTTGTACCATAATTTGGACCCATTTGATCTGGAAATAAACAAAATAAATTGTATACAATATTGCACTAAACCTTGTCATAAGTGATAGGCAAAAGAAACATATTTTAGTAAGAATTGGTATCATTGAAAAAACAATACAGGATGTAAGTGAATTCGTAGGAGATAGGCTGTTTGTGTGTTTCTTTTCAGAGTAGTCTGATAGGAAAGACGCACATTTAATCTACTTTCAAAATAGTGAAGTGAATAAATACTATTTCGTAGCCTATTTACAGAAATAATCACTATTCTAACTGCATTAATAGACTACACCCTGTATATAACGATGTGATACAATGAACACTTACTATTCTGATGATATATCTGATGGTGATAGTCCGTTCGTGTTAAAGCTACGTTAGGAGGTGCTAAAGTGTTGATAGTTGAGCCTAAATCGGCCTGGGGCTGCTCAGCGGCCTGTGAATAATAATTTAAAATGTTTATTTTTAAGTATGTAAAACAGATCGATAGATCATCTTTTGTCAAAAAAAAATAGTAGCTAACATCAACTAATGATGACTTCAACTACTATCTACTGTATTTTGTATATATTTTTTTATTGCGTAGTGGAATCTTATAAACGGTATAGTTACCTCAGGCGAGACCAGCATCTGCTGGCTGCGCTGCAGCTGCAGCAGGCGCGCGCGCTGCTGCTCCACCAGCGCCCGCGCGCGCGCCGTGTCCGAGTAGTGCGGCGCGGGCGCCGGCCCGGCCGCGCCCCGCCAGCGCTCGCGCAGCTCGGGCGAGCCGGGGCTCACCGGGCTCGCCACCGAGTACGCGCTGCCCGCGCTCACTGCGCCCGCCGCGCTGCCGCCGCTCGGGCTCGACCCGCCCGGGCTCTTCTCCACGGCCTCGTACTGCATCAGGCTCTGCCTGATCGCATTTATCATTGCGTTCTTTTCTTTCATGCCCTGAAATAACGACGAGAGACACATTCAACTACCTTCCGGTGTAAAACTAACAATTACATGTTGGTATTCCTTAGTTATTTGCACAAAGTTCGATTATACCTACGAATCAGAAACTAAGATAGTTTATAGGCACCACGAAACTGCAGTGCGTCAAACGAGCTGCTTTTCTAAGATAAAACAAAGAATCAACCATAATCAGCAATAAAAGTTGTAACAGAAGACTTGAAGATATCATAGTCGGTAACTGGTATACCTGTCGTTGCCGCCCACTGACGTCGGACGACGGTCGGTCCGCGTCCGGCATGTTGTCGATGACCTCGTCCAGTATGTCGGACAGCGTCTGGTCACTGGGCACCTCACTGTCGCCACTACCACTCCCACCTTGCGGCCGCGTGTTACCACTCCTGTAGTTCAACATCGAGTAGTCATTAGCACTGTAGGTACGTTACGTACAGAGTTAATAGTATACTTATTGTGTGTAGTAATGACATACGTGGCCTGGTTGTTGTAGAGGGGCGCAGGCGCGGGCGCGGGAGCGGGCGCGGAGTAGTGCAGGGGGTGCGGCGGGGGCGCGGGGTAGCGCGCGCCGCCCGCCAGCCCGCCGCCCTGCAGCACCATCTGCAGGTGGCTGGAGTTGCCCATACTCACCGCCGGACCTTCCGCGCCCACAGACGACACACCACCGCCACCGTTCATGTTATTGGCACGGCTGCAAAAACAAACAACATAATTCCTCATTATTTTTCTTCAATAATCGTATCAAAATTGTCCCGTTGGTCTAGAAATGGCGGCTTCTCAGTCTCACATAAAACTTAGAAAGAAAAGTTGTAATTAAATATCAATCTCAAAGAGAGAGAGATAAGAGAAGATGCATTTTGTCGTGCAGTAGTATACTAACTGGTTGGTGCCGGTGAGTATGTTGGAGAGCGTGGAGTGGTGGTGTCGCTGCGGCGGCATCTGAGGCGGGGGCGGGGGCCGCGGGCGGACGGTGGGCCCGTAGGCGCGCAGGTTGGGGTGGGGCAGGGGGAGGGGCGTGGTGGGCGTGGTCTGCTGCCGCGCGAGCAAAGACACCAGGATCTGGTTCTTGCGGCACAGCGAGCTCATGCCGGGGCTGCTACTGCTCGCTGGACTCGTCGCCGTCGAAGACGTCGTTGATGACGCGGGAAGAGCACTCGATGTGACCTGTTATTCAATCATATGTATTCTATTATATTTTACCCCAGATTTTGTTATAACACAGTGATAATGGAGTATTTTATTCTGACCTAAATTTTTTTTTCTTAATTATTAAGATTCTGTCACACCGTGTATATTTGGTTAACTTATGTAAACGCCGCCAATACAAGTTATTTGTAAATACAATCCGTAGACTCGGATAAGTTAGAATAACAATACACACCTGTTGGTTTTCAGGCGTGGCTCTTTTAGAGTTATTTGCTACTCCTTTAGCTTCTTCGAACTTGCGTTTCACTCCGGCAATTCTTTCAAGATAATTGTCACTGCTTTCCTGTTGTCGTCCATTATTTCCAGACGGTCCATTACTACTTGAAAGTAATTGGGACAACAGTGCACTAGGTTGAGAAACACCCCTACTCCCGTCTGCAGAATTTCTTCTGTTATCCTCCGCATCCTCGTCAGATTTATCTTTTAATATCTGCAATATTGGAAAGGATTAATACGGTCAATGAAATGAGAGTGAAGGTCAAACAGACGCGAGTGGAGCTAGCGGCGGGCGCACTCACCCTGAGCAGGACGTCGGAGTTGTTGTGGTGCGCCTGCTGCAGCGAGTGCGCGGGGTGCGCGGGGTGCGGCGGGTGCGCGGGGTGCGCGGCGTGCGGCGGCAGCGGCGCGCGCGGGTGCGCGGGCGCCGACTGCAGCGGCGACAGCGCGGCGCTGGGCGTGTGCGGCGTGTGGGGCGTGTGCGGCGTGTGCGGCGTGTGCGGCGCCGACGTCTCGCTGCCCGTGGCGTCCTCGTCCTCCTGCTTCAGCAGGTCCTTGAGGATGCGGTTGTTCGAGTTCACGTTGTTGTCGTTCGCCGGCATCGGCTTCTTGCTTAGGAGCGTCCGAAGTCTATTCGGTTCCTCGGCCGGCTGATTCGAGGGCGGCCCTTCGCCCGGAGTCGAAGGCGCTCGCGGCGTCGGAGGCTGCGAGGGTCCTTCGATACTTTCCTTACGTTCTTTAGTATCTTCGCTGGGCATATCGAGCAGAGAAGACGCCCAGGGTTCGAGGTCGAACTCGCTTAAGAACGTGCCGTCGTTAGGACTTATCGAAGACTGATATCGGGGTTCACAAGAAGAGGATTCCCCGTTAGCGACGGACGTCATGAGTGGACCACCGACAGGAGGTCGAGGACCATCTGTTTCCAAAAGATCCATTTCGTCGTCGTTAAGCACTGTATGCGTGGACATTATAAAATCCGGTTCACCCGACGACGGTTTTGCTCTAAAAAGACGCGACTGTGCTATAACTCTAAAGCAAGGTCTGTCTGGGGCAATACGTATGCGAAAAGGTTCACTGATCGCTGGCGGCGCGGGAAGACACGTAGCCTCTTGCAGGTGCGCGGCTACACGAATACGATCACTATTCTCAACAAGTTCCAAATAACGTGTACCCACTAGGGGTACAGCAGTGTTCATTAAATTTTCCACTCCTCTTAAATCACAAACTGAAAAAGAGAATCAAATTATATTATTAACATTTTTCTAAGTAAAAACACTTGTACAAAGTGTTGGACAAAGAGTCTATTACCTAATGAAAGGAGTAATGGTAAAGCAATGGCTTACGTAAAATGATGAAGTTGCAATCCAATCTGAAGACGATGTGATCAGAAGGCTTGGCGGTGCTGGCGGGCGGGCCGCCGTCGCCTGGGAGAAGTGCGGCCGACGCGTCCTCGCAGCGCCGGATGACGCACATGACGGCGCCGGCCTCCTCCGAGGACGAGCTGCGCACTGCCGCAGCCTGGATCACGCAGTCCACGTACCTGACACACCAGTGCATGCACCCGTCAGATCCACATACTATCTACCATCGTTACGTACATACTCCTTCCACATAAACCGAGCATGCTACTTATATGCTAAACATTCCTCTCACTTTTCATGTTTAATTAATTATCTATACCAATAGATTCCACAATTTCCGTACAAAAATTGAAAACCAAAATTACCCAAAACATATCTTTGCTACTTTAAAATGTTAGAAAATCATCTCACGTGCACCCAAAATTTGATAAATTGCATATTTTGAGTATGCACAATGCACTATTCAGTTATAATGACGATATTTAAAAAAGGTATCTAAATCTAAAATATCTATGTACGCACTACATTGCACATATTTGTGAAATAGATTTCTACGGCAGTTTTGCATTACTCGATTTAAATACGTATTAGTTACAAGTAATCGGCCCCTTATCGAGCGACCGTCACCATCTACTATCACAATGAAATAGCAAAACACGTTCTCATATCAATAGTGTCACACGACGACTCGTTGTCTTTGACACCTTGAGATATTTTATATCATATTTTACTTTTGCGACTACAAACACACATTTAAACGGTTCTGGTTTGGACAACTTACCCAGTACTGTCAGTCCCATTGGAGTTCTTGACAAGAAGACGAGCCTGTATAGCTTGAAATTTCTCCTGTCCAGATTTAATTTCTGACGCGCCCCAATTAAAGTTTTGTGTGTTTCTTAACAGTGGCTTCAATTTTGCATGATCTTTGCTATGCAAAAGCGAGAATATTGATTTCTTGTATAACTCAGTTCTGTCCTGCAGAGTGAGCTCTTTAATATTTTCGGTTATACATACTATTTCAGCCTTTGAGTTTATTTCCAATAAAACCCATCCGAGGGTGCCAGTGTAATGCTTGAGAGCCTAGAAACACACAAAGTTGAATTTATAATATTACTCAGGTTCTAGAAACTGGAATCTAAATAGTCTATTTATAAGTAAAATTTTGAAGCTTATCTGTGCTGTGTTAAATGTATCGCAATGAAGTTTAGAAACATTCTTTGAAACATTATTTTTCAACAGGTCGTACATGAAACAGGAAAAAGTTATTAAAACAAATGAAATGAAATACCTCGATTAGCGAGTTGGTCTCCGAGTAATGTAATCCAGCGCAGGACGGCTGGGTGGAGCTAACCTCGCCAGCCTGCACAGGAGAGCGGCCCTGGGCGGCGCGGAGCGGGCACTCCTCAGGACACTCCTTCCTGCGCCGCAGCACCTCCTCGATCTGCCGAGTAGCCTCGCTTACGATTCCGTTCTTATCTGGCTGCTTTACTTCAGCAAGACAGGTACTCAAAAGTTCTTCAAGTTGATTTATGGTAGCGTTTTCGAGCTCCCGTCGCTTCTTCTCGTTGTGACACTTATTTCTGGAAAATACAGGCAAACAATTAGTAATCAAACATCTTTCTGCTGAGTCTTAACAGCTAAAGCACGTTTAAAATGTATTATTAAATTTCTATGGGTGCAGAAAAGTATAAGTTAATTCGATATAAAATATTTTATTACATTTAAAAAAGTAATATTTTTTAAACATATCGATGTTTGACAAGATTTGTTTTAGAAAGATATGAGAAACCATTTAACTACTAATCAAACATTTATTAAAGTAAAAAAGACAAATTACAATATCATCTACACGAATTACACACTGAATGAAATAATTATGATAATGAACGAAAACATAAATCCACCTATGGTCTATGCTCTGCACGAATTTACAATGAAAACTATAGCCCTATCTGGCCAAAATAGCGTTAATGAATATGCAAATATCATTATCATTTATTTACTGAATTATCAATTTCAAACACGCCATCGATTTAAATATTCAATACTCGGCAACACGTGTATGGTATTCATTCTATATGGGTATACTAATAATAATTAAAAAGTAAAACTGTGCAAATTACGTAAGTACAAGTATAATTTAGGTAAGATACACACGAAAGACAATGCGATAAGACAACGAACGAATCATTTTTAAATTAAAAGAATAGAATGAAACTTAGTACCGACTACTAACCTACTGTAAGTACATTTATTTCGATTGATTGTTGTTCAAGTATTTCCGGAGATATTTAGCTTAGTTGCTATTGTATGCAGTTCCATACAAAATTCATGATTGATTGGTTGATGCAAAACAATGTTGTATTGCCGAATTCCGGTCAGTAACGCAGTGTTGATAAATGATATTGTGTTGATAACAAGTACCTACAGTTTGCAGGTGGTGTTTGGTGATAGAGTATTAATTTGAAAGATATGTAGTTGGTTTGTCGTGACCAATAGTGTTCATTTTTTAGTACATAGCATGTAAAAGTAAATCTCTCTTGGACTCATTTTAAACGACAAACAGATAAGCGCCTGTTTGTTGCCTAAGGTCGGGAAATTGTGATAAAATTATAAAAAAAAATACATTACGTTCCGTAGTTTTGTACTTATTATTAGAATACAACAAATCTAGGGATGTGACGTTTTGAAGGATTTAATAAGTTTTAGATAGTTTGTTGCTAGTAAATAGTATCGATTGTTCAATCAACTGATTCTACAAGAATATAAGAAAATGTCAGTGAGGTATAAAGTTACAAATTACTTTTATCTACTGCCAACCATATTTATTTATCTAGTGATTCATGTTCCCCAAATTTATTATACTAATACTAATGGTAGGTAACACCTCTAACTAGGTATCCGATAGGCGTATATCAGTTTATCAGACACAATCCATCGTGAAACAAGGTTTATTACAATTAGTATCTATTTAATTCACGATTTTAATTATATTTTATTAAAACATCATACAACATTAATATGCTTGTTATTGTGTCTTTCATAATGAACACGACGAGATTGTAATAATATACTGACTGAAAGTATTTTTATATCAAAACAATTATAGCATAGATGTAAAATGTATTGGATTTTGAACAAGTATAGGACTTCATCATTAAAGAAAACTTAATAATCAAAGTGACCGTCCCACAAAAGTAGACCACTTTCTTCCGACCTCTTAGATTAATTCAGATCGACTAGGAAGGACGTCGTTAGTTAGTTAATTCGAAGTACACACGCAAGGATTTATCGAATGTAAGGACTCACCAGATTGACAACAGTCACGACTTGCTTTCTTACAAGTTACACCAGTGCCCAAGTTCTTTTTTATTTTTCTTACACAAACGTTGCCTCACACTGGGATGTTCCCCTGTGTCGTGGGTACATACATACAATTTCACATACACATATTTGTAATCAATGTTTTATATACTATTTTAATTTGTACAAATCGCTATTAAGCATTACCAATCAAATAGTAATTTAATGTAGGAAGAACGTCTATCAAGTGATGACTAATACTAAAAGTTTTATAAAAACTATGACTACTAAAATAATGAAACATCTAACATTTTTACATTTCAAACAAACACTAAACATGCTCTTTAATGGTATTAATCTAATAATATGACGAAATAAAAAAGGTATGAAATGAATTAGTGTATTTACAAGTATAACCCTATCTAGCAAACGATATTTCCTGGTTACTTAAAGACCAAACGCAATATTATTAGCCAGTTAATGAAGTTCGTTGTCACAATTTTATTCACCAAATCGCTTAATTGAAATTAAATTTGACAAATGATAAGACTTTATCAGCTTTCGAGAAACCAGGGTAAACCAATAATTGTTCTGACACGTCACAATATGGGCACTGAGGAATCATAATAATATTGTAGATAAACAAAGTACCTACATACTTTTTATTGCTCACATGTTATGTTAAAAGAAATATAATAAGACAGCGACACAATGCAGACGTTCTTATCAGTGATTACTATCAATCGTAGGATAGTCAGTATACGCATAAATAAACTGAAGGAAAACAATAACGAATATATACGTACATATACTACTAATAATCAAACAAATATTTTATTACTTAGATATAAGAGAATATATTAATGTGTATATTCAAACCTCAACATTTTTTATGCTAATGATAGGAGCAAGGCTTATCTAGTATTCTGTGTGAGGGTAGTACTTCCCATGAGAGCTAGTCCATATCAGTTGCCTATATCAGCTAGGCTCTACCATGAAGCTACATGAGAACAATACGATAGATGAGAAATAGTTCTAAGAAGTTATTCTATTATTCTCAGTCGTTATAAATAATAAAAATGAGGTATTTAAAGACATGTTATTTGATTTTGTTCATATTATCTTTTGATTAAAAATTGTCAAAACAAATAACCTTACCAGTCAAGACTTGAAAATTAAACGCAACAAGACAATACACAAGTCAGAGTCCACTCTCAAGTTTCATAAGCTTCTTCATAATAAACGGATACACAACAACACACACATACGAAACAACTACATATAAACATTAAACATAATGTAAGAAAAGTCGGTTAAAATTACGTCTAATTCATTGAATAGAGGTGCACACACTGTTATATATAATTATTATTACTTGAATAATTCTTGTAGTACTTACTAGGAGCATTGTCATAAACTGTGCTCTTATAAATGGCAGTGGGGCAGTATTGTTATTGATAACACAAATATAAGACGTGTAATAATTTCAAATTATTGAGAAATAAGATTCCATGCAATGGTGGTTGCAGCGACTACCACCAGGACAAGATACGACAACTTTAACAAATAAAAAAAAACTTTAAACTGGGGACATGAAAAATATTATAGACATTCTATTAGATTCTACTTACCAACAATATAACTACACAATTTAGCCCTTTGTTTAAATTTCTGTAACTTATCAGATATGAATGAGACTCATCACGATGACTAAACGGTAAATAGTCTAGACTTATAGATTTAAAAGATTATATTTTGTAATATAAAGGAGGAGGGAAACAAAGCCAATATCCACATTACACATGCTAAGTTACCAAGAACATTAAAGGTATTGTTTATGATGAAAAAATGAGAATTGTTATCTGAATGCTTTTTATAGTTTTTGAATGCCATTGCCATTTATCACTGAATAATCAGATATTAAAGTGTTTATGAAAACGCTATTTTTGTGACGTTTGTCATTTTACATTTTTCGATTTAGCTGTTTAATATCTTTTCAATATTATTATACGTCACTTAAACAAAGAAAGATATCTCTAAGTAGCTTATATCACAAAAATATTAAATTTGGGACTTTATTAATAACGACCAATCTCAGGAACCCCATCTGTTGGTGCATTTAATTACTAAAGATAGAATTTTAGCACCTTTTATATCCAGCTATATTAAATACTAACTGTTACCCGCAACCTTGTCCACATAGAATATGATTCATTTTATCCCATGAGACCACTTAATCGGAATAAAAAGTATCCTATCATCAAAGTCAGCCCATACCCTGCCCATAAACCAAATTTTATCATTCAGTAGTTAGTTTCAGCATGATTGACGGACAAAGATCCAAATAAAGAAACTTTTATATTTATAATATAAGTGTGACAATTTCTTATTTAGTAAGCAAACATTATCGACACATAGTTTATGGGTATAGGTAAAGATAGATATTAAAACGGACAACATTGAAAATACTGCAAACATAAAAGTACTTACAGATAACACATAAAGCATTAAAAACAAAATGAATCAATTGATCATTTATATTACACGGATCCAATGCATCAATTCTGGACACGTCTTTCCTTGTCATTTGAAGTAAACATATGATAATATAAATAATAATCCTACATTATAAATTACTTTTGAAGAATTATTTTTTACTGAATGTATATTTTTTATATATGTTAAGGTTACGTTTGGTAGATATAAATAGGTACCTAATAAGTAAGTTTTATTCATAGACACAATGTAGACTAACTTATTATGTTCTATTTTTGAAAATCACAAGAATTTATTAAATATTATTTTTTTATTCATAAGAATGGTGAACAGAGTTCCAAAACTGCTTATATGAACCACCATAGGGATCAGGGCACATGACTGCTTATTATTTATTCATGTGTTTCCCTTTGACACACTGACCTACTGATTGGGTGGCGATAATAATTTAAACTATCGATATTGCAGATAACGATATACTAATGTGGCCTTCACAACCGTCATATACATGTTCGTCAAAAAGCCTTAGCGAAATGACATTTAAAGTTACTTATTTCGGCTTTTTATTCTTTTAAAATGTCATTATTACAACCAGGATAGGACCTGTGCAGTTCAGGAACTATTGTCCGTTGAAGTCAAAAATCGCTTCAGAATTGCGAAAAGGATTTATCGAGAACTTATCTTAACATCATCATGGAGGTGGTCCTCTTTGTGACTTATTCCTTGCTTATAGAGGTCTAAATTGAAATAGTTTATATGAAATTCATATTGACAAAAAAGTGCCTGTTTATAGCCCCTTGTTTGCACAATATCTACTACAAATATAACTGTATAAGTTTTTTCTATTACTCGTCGTCTTAAAGAACAGTGTAGTAATAATTTAACAGTTTACTTTATTTTTAACCTAGAGACAATCAATTTCCGCCTATTGTGGTTATTTTAGACAAAAATGCAGGCACATATACATCATGTATAGAAAAAATATGCTTTTATTTACGATCAAGTACAATAATTATTAAAAACCCAGACATTTCCACCAATGTATACACATTTCAAGCGTAATATACGTACATTTGAGATTGTGGCTTATTGTCTGACTTTTTTCTTATCTTCTTAACCGGCGCTGGCACGCTCATCTTGCCTTGCATCCCCCTCCATGTGTCTCCCAGTTGGAGGTCACAGGATTCAATTCTACAGAAGCAGCAAACAAAATAAACTATTATTAAAGTATGGATGATTTGTAACATTTATAAAAAGAATGTGATACGATGATATTTGATGGTTGGTGATTTATATTCATTCACTTTTGTGAAAATAAAATATGTTCTATTTTTCAAACCTACATAACGTAGTAATCTAAATTGTGAAACAGTGGTGGTTGATATCTACTTTAATTCTACTTCTAAATAAATAATAACAAAGGAAGCATTCTTTACTATTTTTTTTACCCAACATACGATTCCCCAATCAATTTAATTATAATAGCGCAAGGGTATGACTCATTTTTGCTACCAAGCCAGTAAACGTATTGTATTTATTCAGGTTTTTTAAATAAGTTGAGTATTTATATGTACATTATCAAAACTTTAACCAGGTGAGGATGTACACTATCGTAATGGACTGCCTATCAAGGAATAGTTATGTTCACATTGACGCGGCTCATATCAAATGCCAAGTACAGAGTAAGCTGAACCTTAATGCAAAAGAGGGACAGAGATACCAGTTGAACGACGCCTACCGAGGAGCCCCACTACGCAACCTCACTGCGACGGCCGCGCAACCTTGAAATAATAATGTTCGGAATAACAACAACGCGCCACAAGCGTGACCAGAAATAGTATAATAATTCTCGAAAATGTTTGAAGCCTCTATCTAGTTCCTAGTACATACTCATATCCTGTCTGTATTTGAGATAGGTGCATACCTAATTCAGACAATATTCAGCCATGTTACACACCAGGTGTATGTATACCATGTGTTGTGTATAATAGCACTGTAATACCTAAAATATAATAGTAAAATTGATTAGACAGGATGCAGACCGTGCTGTGTCTAACATAGTATTAGCATAACTTAATATTTATTTAATGTTTTAGTTAAGTTGACACTTAAGTTCGAATAGGTGAAAGTTGGTAAGTATTGTCAGCGCTCCGCAGTCGAAGGTTTCGCTTTTTCAATCGTTCGTTACTCAACAGGTATTCGTCATCGAGACAACTACTTGACTACCAACGTGAGCAACTTTATTAAGCTCTTGTGCCTGATTTTATTACATCGACTAAGGTCGTGTTTCTTAGACTACATTAAATCTGACATAATATGATCGTGTGAGTTTAAAACAAATTCCAGTTTACGGGTTTAAAAGTAGGATTTTACCTATTAGGTTATTTTAGTACTTACAAGAATGATTTTATTGCTATATTCTTTAATTTATGAGAAATAGAAAGTTTTTACAATGACATCAACTTCATTAAATGGATCTGAAGCCTGTTGCAGTAGGATTTCAAACTAGAAATATTTTAGTTTTCCGTAATCACTGCGTCCAAATAAGTATTCCACACTAGAATGGCAAACTGTAAAGCATAAGTTAACTGCTGTCGAATGATGTTTTAACTTTGCGTGAAGCCGTGTATAGTAATAACATATTGAGAGATCGCGAGACTGGTCGGTAGTGGGTGATATAACAGAGGAGGCAAGCGTTAACTTAATAAATCATTTTAGTGCGTTACTTATATGATATAAACACGAAATCTGCACCAAGAATAGATTTCTTTTAATTGAAAATACTCTTGATAATATACTAAGTTATTTTTCAAGTTACAACTACTACCTCTAATATAAATAAAGTGGCTGATGTTATACAAAAACAGTGCATTAATGTGATCCCGAGACAAAAAAGACTCAAGCAAGCATTCTTAATTACTGTGATACAAAATGGAACTGAATTGAAATATAAGTATACTGGGAAAAAAATAAAAATCAATTGCCTTAAGGGCGTATAAATATTGTTAATAGAATAATACAATTCAATTAAATTGAGATGCGTATTATTCCTAGACTAATTTACAGGCAATTCTACATTTTAAGAAAAATCTTACAAATTATCATGATCTTGGTGTGGCTGACGTGAAAAGTGGTAACTCCAAAAAATGGAGTCGAAGCAATAAATATTACGTGTTAATGTGATTGGATTACGTACAAATAGCCAGAATTTCTATTAAGCAATTACTTAACGACTCTAGTTAAATAGTACTTGAGAAAACCAGCTACTCGAAAGCAGAAAATTATTTGCATTGCATTGTGTTTCTGCTGCAGTTAACGCTACATTTTCTATCTAAGTACTCGTGATGCATTATCTAATTAATTGTATTGTTTATTCATATTAAAATTTCAAGAAATGCGTATAATATTGGATCTAATTGAATAAAAAATGGTTATTATAACTTACCGGCAATTTGAAATACTTATTTTATTAGGCTACACATTATTACACTGCGCATTTTTATTTTTTGTTAATCAAAACTTAAGTCCCGGGATCACATGTAGTAAAACAAACATACTGATATATTTGCGTACCCGGTAAAAGGATTTACAATTCAAGTTTTGAAACACTGCTAATTTAGATGTATCACCTATTTGTCTATCACTTAGAGTGTCACGCAAAAATTAGTAGGTCGATTTTGAAGACTTTCACTTTTTGAAAGTTGAGGGTGCAGTACCTACGATGAATACACAGTTACGTAAAACGGGGTTTCTTCTTCTGTAAAATGTACACGTAATTTGCGATAGTACTACGAGCCGAATTTGAATATCATATCCAGTAGGATCCAAGTGAAACTAACAGTGGTAGTAGGTGTACCACATGGGCCATTGAGAGAACATTTATTTAAACATTTGCGTTTTAGATTGTGGTTATAATATACCGCACATAAAATCTTAAATTGTGTGTAGTGGTAATTGAAGAGGTGATTGTTGAAAAGAAAGAGTCCTAGCTAAGAAACATAGGTCTATTTATTGAGATTATATAGAAAATTAAGGATTCTGAATGGTGGCAATTCAGAAAACAGGTTTGATCAGTTTTCAATGTTAAAATGTTAGGTTATGCTGAGTAATATAACACAGTATTGGTCTTAAAAGTTGATAGCTATATAACGTAGGTACGTACATATATCGACTTAATTGACTACACTATTGAATCTTGCGGAAAGGAAATTACTTTTGTCTTTCAAGGAGGTCTGCATTTTTAAAACCTTGAAATATAAAACAAGTTATAGAAGCACTACACACGTGTTAATCGTTTCACAGATAATAGTCAAATATAAATGGTAAATTCCTAATGGTATAAATACAACCAATAGCTGATATTTAATTAAAATATTTCATGGTCCAAATTATTGACACGGTATGTTGAGACTAGAACGAATGTGGTCACAAACTTAAGCCTCAAATCGAATGATCACGAGTTGAGTGAGCGAGTCGAGGATCCAATGTGGTGGAACACTCAGTCGACAGCAAAATTACAAGCTCTACTAAAGCATACAAGTACTTCTTCTGGATAAAGTAAAAAACACAAGTGTGCAAAAACAATAACAATCAAGTAGATACCACAGTACCAAAGACTGCGATAAAAATCAAAGAGTCTTTGTTTAGTTTTGATGTCTTAGTTCGTATTAAATGTGGATGTATAGCCATACTCTAGCAACACTTTATTATTGTCAATGGCTAATAAAGGCCAGGGTTACCAACATATGAAAATATGTTCTATTCAGTGGGGATTTGCCATAACAACGTAAGAATAAGAAAGACCAAGATTTAGAAGAAAACAACCGATTTAAAAAGAAAAACTTTAAAGTATTTGTTAGTGTCTTTCTGCACTCAACTTTCAAAGTACAAACGTTAATTTTGGTGGATTTCGCGTTTGCTAACAATTTAAGAGAACTACATTTTAAATCATAGTATATAAATGGTGTAGATATTGATAAAGCCTAGCCATATGATATGAGATAGATAGTCTTCCATTTTAATTAAGCTAAAACTTGAGTGATAAATCTCCATTAACCATTATTGCTCTCCGAAAAATCTTTAGAATTTGTTTTTAAAATCCATTTATCTAGCAAAGTAGGTATAGCGATGAAGCAAAAAGTATATTGTTGAGTTAAGGATACCAAACATGGTAGTCACTGTCATACTGAATGGTAGTGAGTCATGGATTCCTCTCTGGTGTTAGAGAATTATGCAATTATAGTATTTAATGCACCCATCATTGTTTAGAAATGTTAATTTGCTATGAAGTTATCAATGGTCTAATTTTTATCAACTTCTATAAAGTAAAAACATGAAGGCATGGTTTTCGTTACAGTGCCTTAAAATTATGTGTTAGGCACACCTCTAGTAGCTACTGTAAAACAATAATTCTATTTAAATTATGTAACGACACGATAACGATTTTCATTTCATTTAACATTCTTTTCCATTTGTTATTACGCAATATCGACAATTCTTTTTACATACATATTATTTCAGCAACCCTTGTTATTAATTCTCCAACATAAGATCAAGCCACAAATGGATTAGCATTATGTTGTTGGTTTAATATGTTCTTATCATTCGTAATTACTAATTTTATCTTCATATGTGACCCGTAATCATTCTGGGTCTCGGTATTGTATGTCATTGGTCCGGTGTTGTGACTTGCTCGATTACAAATACCTACCTATCGTTAAATCGTAGGGTAACTTGAAACAATCATTTTAGCGTGAAATCGAAAATCTAACAATGAGGTTCTAGAACGCCTCCATGTTGCAGCGCATTTTATTTTAATACTAATACTCTGCACTGTTATGGTTAATGGCAAATGTAGTTTGATAAACAAAATTGTTAGTTTAATAAAGCAATCTGTTTACACAACAGGGCATTGTTGCAAGAGAACAAACCATATTATAACATAATAAAATGTGTAGTGGACACACCTGTGTCTAAAAATGTATTTTTCAACTATTTACCTCGACACGGTGTTAACAGCAACATCAACGTCGAAGAAGATGTCGACTAGTTCGTCCACTTCCGAATCCGGTGTAAGCGAGGGTGGCAATGTGGCCGGAGGAGAAGCGGCCACATTGACCGAATGAACCCCGCAATTGAATAGCACAGGTTCTGTTTGTACCATGGGCAGCATGGCTAAGACACACTCAAACGTTCACTGCCACTATTTAATAAAGGAATATATCCCAGGATTAATTTTAAATAGCACAATACGTATCCGCATCCAAACATACACTGCATTGCGCCACGACCGCCGCGACGCAATTTTTTAATACTATGAAGGTTTCTAAATTCACACTCTTAATTCAACTACAAAACCAATTAACTGAAAACTGCTAGTTTGTATTACGTCTCGTTTAATTTTAATATTGACCGACTATAACATGCAGTAACTTTATTACGTAGTGATAGTGCAATTTCCTATCGATATCCGTGCGAAACGTTCGCTACAAAACGACGATGAAAGTCAACTGAAAGGCGAGACGTAGATATACACACATCCTTTTCGTTCGCCGCTTTACAAATTATCAACACGGCGGGCGGCGCGGCGCGACACGACGCAGAACGTCGACAGCGACGACGGTGACGACGACAGCGATGGCTAAGAGCAAGAGCGTGAGAAGGTGGACTGATGGACTGAACAGTATTGCTATTATAGTCACACCAACGTCACTCCTAACTAAACCGAGCCTGCGATCTCGCTCGCCGACACGAATAGCTTGAACTTGCCGAATACAGCCGAGTGCCTACGATTTAGTACGACGTATAAATACATAACAAAAAATTGTTTGCTATTTCATTAGCCATCTATTTGTTGCGAAACACCGACCGAAATATAATAAACAATCAACGCCAAGGTATCTATAGGCCAAGTTTCGATAACTTTATAAATGGCAAATGGGGTAAAATTGTACATTAACTTATTGTAAATTGTTACAACTACAAATACATAGTTACTTCAATTTAAAATATGTACATACTCAACTAGGTATATTTATTTGATACTGAGATCTTGAAGGCGTTGCGTAAACAAGTTTTTTTTCTTCATAAAAAAGGAAAAACCTTAAAATAAACGTTATGTATAATTTAAAGTTAAAATAAAGAGTTAAGATATAGTTTTATCAAAAAAAATGTGTTTTATTATGTTCCATGTAACATTGTGTTTATTAGGATTTATTCCTAAATAATAAACGTTATTGAATTTGGATAATTGGATAAAGTTCGACATTAAACAAATGGCTAAATCGCGCGACATACAGCGATACGTTGTAAGCCGTGACGTAGGCACTCGTACCTACATGAAAGTGAAATGGAACAGTATTTGTGTCAAGTGCACAATTTAGATAACAAGGTCACCCATTGCATAACTCTATCGCATGATTTTTTATTTTACTCTACAATCTACGATAAACCCGCTAAGTTGGAAGCATTTTTGTAGTAACCCCATTTAGATATTAACTATTAAATAAACCTTACGACCGTATCTTTTGATAGATAAAGTATAATTCCGTTTCGCGCCCCTAAACCAAATAAAATATATGTTAATAAATATTAAGCACAGATAACCATTGTAGATAATAAAAGTTGTGGATAATAATTAAGAGTAATCTAATATATCGATCTCAAACCATTTTTGTCGTAATCGTGAATTATTTGGAATTAAATTCATTGAAACACAAAATTATAGGTAAAAGAGTAAAGGGGCAGTAGAGGAAGAGCGCGGCGCGTGCAGATATCGGTGCAGGCGGCCCCGCAGATCTATGTCAGTGGGTCACGGCAATGACGTGGCACACGGCCGCCGCGACTCGCGCCGCGCACTTCATTCTAATTCCGCTTCACCGGTATCTTCGTGTTGACTAGAGGGCTATTTATTTATTTACTCATGTGTTAGTGCGTTAATCTGACGCATTCATTAAAATCATATTTAACAATTGTGTTTAAGATTATCTGATGAAATACACCCGGTGGAATATAGTATTTTCAATTAAAAATGGACGTACTAAATACCAAGAGGTCTACTTTGTGCTGACATTGACCGACTGAAATGATTCACGTGAGAATGAGAAATACAAGTTGATTAATTCGCAATTCGGTTTATAGGTGGGATTTTCCTATTGACCCGTTTCCAGGGATATTTGCTGTAATGGGATCGCGCCCTTCAAATATTAGGAGAACTGTTGCGTATGATGACGATATGAAACAAGAAAATACTTTAGCGAACATGTCGTTCTAATTATAACCCTTACAACAATAAGCTGGACTCTTACATTAATAGAAAATACCTGGGGATATATTAATCTCCTTGAAGGTGCTTAATATTTTCACTTGAACTAGACGAGTAGCAAACTGATTTGTCTTTTTATACAATCAAAAGAAGTTATAAAACCTACAATACGGGGATTAGTGCATACGGGGATTTGTGCATTACTTGCACCTAAAAAACATAAATATACTTAATTTATTAAAGTTATTTTTACGTAGGTCATAATTTTGGATATTTAGCACAATGAAAATAATCAGTTGGTACCTAATCTAACAAAATTGTAATAATACTGATCGAGACCTTAGGATATTCGATACAATAATTTTGACTTTACTTCAAACGATGACTGCTGCTAGGTTGCATTATAGGGATCATATATGCAATGTTTGTACAATTAAACAAACACCTAGAATTTTCCTCATGCAACTGCACAAAAATGGGACAGTCTTAAATTTTTGGTTAATTTTGAAGCGTAATTAACCAATAGGCAGAATATTTAATATATTAGCTCCTTATGTCACAGCAACTAAACATGTTCCAAGAGACATTGACAAATGGTGACATGACAAGAGGCCAGATAAAAAAGTTTTTTTTTCAATTGCATATAACACAAAAACATCGTAAAAGTGAAATACATGTTTCTTGGACATTATATCATGAAGACCCAAGTAATTATATTTTCGCAGGGCAAAATATTTCGGCCCCTTCAAGTTTATACGCGAATTTAAGAAAACAGAAAACAGCCGAACATCTAACACCAATTTTTTCCTATTTTAAAGCCCATATCATACCCCTCTCCATCCCCTTAAACCGTCAATGAGCGTTCAAGATATAATTTGATTACGATACGAGTATTACGAGTGTATTTTACAAGTTGTTAGGAAGATAATTCTGAACTTGTTTTATTTAGGTTGATCTCCAACTAAAAGCACAACTTTACTCATCAGACTCAGATATCTTTACAGTCTGTTAACTTTAAACGAAACTCAGCCAATATCGTGTTTACAAGAAATGATGAGCTTCACCCTCAGGGGAGCGTAGATAATCTCATCAAATGAAACAACTAATGAGAATATAAATGACGTTCTATATTGGTTGGGGACCGGCTGGATTGTCGTGACGTCCCCGTTGCATAGTCCATCATAAGTCTACACCTCGCTATTTATTAATCATTCACCATCGATATAGAATTATTTTTATATTAATCAGTTTTATTAAATTAGAATAATCAGGTACTATCATTTTACTCGACTATAAAAAACTGTTTAGTGAACATAATCTACAAGGAAAATAACGTGCCGAACTTAAGTTGTTAGCGATGTAAACCTGTGTACCCTTTGTTCTACCTTAGTCAAATTGTTAAACCGATTTTCATAATGTGGTGTAATGATAAAAATATGTGAAGACGAATGACGTTTATATCGTCATGCCAGCTAGCTACCTTGATTTCATACGACTTGTTTCGTAATCGTTATGACTATGAGTAATTTAAAACGAGATTGAAATAAATAGATAAAATTATAGATAAAGCCAAAAAGTCGTTTGATGGATTTTAGATATAGGTTGCTCTTTTCAAGTCTTTAAATAAAATGTATCGTCAGAGAATTTGATTGATCTATAAAAAAAATCATTTGTCAGCATCCATTGGTTGTTTGTATAAATGTGAACTCTGTCTCTATTTGTTCCTTGCTTCTTTAGTTACCTGTGACTCTAGCAGGCTCATGTGTAAACTTGTGTAGTATAAAGACTAAGGTGTCCGCAAAGAATCCCCGCAAATGCGTTGCGTCACGTGGGCGGGCAGATCGATTGGGTGAGCGGGAATGTTGGCGCTTGCGCGAACCCCATCTTATTTATCGACCACCAACTTTTAACTGAACGCTTTTGGGGCAGGTTAGGCCTATGCTCTAGGGTCAAGGTCACGCGCCTCACCACTGAAATATTACTTATAGTACTCAAACTAGACAGAAATATAAAAAATCTTGCGGAGAGAAGCATTACTTCATCAACTGTGTTGAAATAGGTATTTAAATTTGCTAGCCAGTAAAATTTACACGAAATTTTGTTGATTACCTACTTGAGAGGATCGCGATGATAAAACCCATTCTTGCCGATGCTTTATTTCAATATTATACGAAATAAACCAATACAAAAAATAAATAGCTTCATCTACACGCTTGTTGATTAGAACAAGCTTCCTTTCCGTACGTGGATTCTACATGACCGATAGAACTGCATCGTCATGTCTGACGATTATTTCAACCTATTCACAATGATTGCGATATCTCGTGACATGACCAAGCAGGTGTTGCATGTAGTACTAAAGGTGATCAAAAAGACCAGGACCTCTTTAGTTTACTATGCCAATGAAGACAACTCCCAATAAAATATTAGTAGACAGATTTGAGGGGTTAACCTGGAATTGCAAGAGTATATACATACGTATAGGTACGTTTATTTAAAACTGTTTGAATACCTACAGTTTAAATCTATGATTTAATAGTTTTATTAAAGCATATATAAACCGCTTTAACGGCAAGGCAATTTAAAATGACTTTGTAAATAGAAAGTTTTCTAATCTTCAATTTGTATTTTAAACGTGATACGAACAAAGCAGGACCAATGCCAAGATCAGGAAAAACCGGCGAAGCGTTGCCAGTACCTACATGTTGCGTTACGTTTATTGTGTAAGTTACGTCGCCAAGTTACGAAGAACAAGCGATGTTATCGTAGAGCTCGAGAATCGAGACGAAAAAATATTTTTATCTTATGTCCACTGCTTAAACTGGTCGTTTTAATTCTAGTCACCAAGTTTATAGTTGCAAATATAACCTGATTTTTACTTTAATAATACCTAGGTTGAAAAATAATAATTAGGGAGGTACGCAATTCGCTTGAATAAGTTTAAAATCGTAACCCTGTGTTTATAATTATGGTTTAGACTTTAAGAGGTTTAAAAGTGGAGTCACTAGATTTATTTTAGCATCAATATTTAAATAGAATTTCCGTTTTTTATAAAGGCATGAAAGAAAAATGATCATAAGTGCGCGTTGACCGCAGCAAGAGGCCACGCGCAGTGGCGACGTCGGCGGTGGCGGCGGGGTCGGCGCAGGCTTCCTTCGCCCGGGATTGATCGTCCCCGTACCTACTTCGCATGTGAAGTCTCTGGTGTCGTCATGGAGACCGTCTGCCGCTATCGCCGTCGTAGCGTCGCCATGAGAACCGTGCTGATTCAATAGCTCAAAATTTCTCAACATGCAAATAAACTTGGCTTTACCTCGAACTACTTATAAATAATCTTCAGGTCTGAATCTATTTTAAAAATAAAACTTTTTTAAAATCTTATTGTCATGACTAAATCACATTATTAATAAATAATCATTTTTAGCCAAGAATGTAACTGCACCAAAACTGAAACTTCATCTAAACCGATTAATTATTTCTCCTGTCTATTTAGCTAGGTTGAAAGAGGTTAACAACAAAAATATCCCAGACTCCCTGGGCTCCCCGAGCCTGTGCCGTCCGGGCTACACGGGGTCCGGACAGAACGGAGTAAGCTCCGTTCTGTCCGGACCAAGGACAAGCTAAGGCTTGAGCTCTTCCTTTAAAGGGAAATACATAAATAGCCCACCTATATCTACTAGTTAAGTAGTAAGTTTTTACACTAACATAGTCTGATTGAACCCAAACTCGGAGAAATAATAACCACGTATTTGTAACACATAACTAGGTAAAAAGATTTATTTAGCTATTAACTGCAATGTTGTAATAAGAACTATAACCGATCAGCAAGTTACTTGTTTATGTACCTATCCTATCGTAATTGCTAAGTACTACTAAAAAAACTCCTTGATAATGAAAAATGATGATTATTTAGCAAATTATGTTGTACAAAGTGTAGTATTTGTTTACACAAAGAGCGTGATAGTTACATCATTTTGTTAATTTATGAAAAAAATTTGCTAAGCATGTTTAAAATTTAGCTATTTTACAGAAATTGTACACTGAAATTAAAGTAAACTAATAGCGTAAAAAAATACCTATATATTTTAGATTTAGTCAAATCGTGTCACATTAATTTCAAATGATAGGACTTGAAAGTATAAAGTTAAATGCAAATAGAACCGACATGGCGGTTCTAGGAAACTCCACAGTCAGCAGTCGTCTCTTGATGACACAAATGACTAATAAATTAATTTTCCTTATTTCCTACGATTTACGAAAAAAGTATTGATGACAATGTCAAATTTCTCAGAGGTGCTGCAACGTTTTGTCTTTCATACAGCCTAATTTACAAGACTTCAATGAGTCAACTGATTTAACTGATTGAAAAAGGCTAGCCTTGGGAATGAAGACCACATTTGAGGTAATCATTTACTATATTCGATACCCTAATTTATTTGTATACCCTATCTCTTAATAATGTCTCTGATTTCTATCACTAACCACCACTGTTTTGAAAAATAATCCGCAATTGCAGATATAACGCACCTATGTACTAAAATAATACTTCTTTGGTCCTAAGTACTATACAGTAAATTAATGATATAATGACATGTCAAAAATCGATAAATAAACATAATGATATATTTTATTTCGGCTGAAAGTATATATGTTTCACAAATGTTAGTTTAATGTTTAATTAAAGAAGGCCTAAGAGAGAAGCGTTGACCACATCACGTAAACTTTTCCTTTTAATTTCTTCATTGAGTCTAGTTGTTAAAACCTTGTAATAACTTTAAAAAGTTTTTATTGTGAAAATTCCTGAATAATAAATGCAACTATCTTCTGTAAGACATCAACCTGCCTTTGGGTCCGCATGCAAATAGTAATTTGAATTGATAACAGAGACGTAATATTCAATCAGCTACTTTTGTGTAAAGACCTTTATTACACTGATAATTCCTTAGCATGGAAATAAGAAAAAAATATTTTTTAGGAAAACGGGAGAATCTAATGAGAAACTAAATTAATCGGATGGTAGGTCAGCCCACTAGACGCAAGGACCATATTCCATTTTCAAACGAGTTTTGCTTCCCACCTTGAAATGAGGAACTAGATTTATGCAACGTAGTGTACGCTCGATAACATCTTAAGCTTGTGATGTGAGCTTCTCTAGTGAATAAGTATTTGATAATGATACTGGAGAGTGACCGTGAGACAGAAAAAAACAGCATGCATTATTTAAATCCTTTAAAACGAGAGGAAACGCACTGAATGGATCATATACAGAAAATGTACTAAATCGTCTTAGTTTTAGAATCATATAATTACCTTGCATCTTCAATAGCCAGTATTGGCATATATGGTTCATTGAAGTGTTTGGCGCTGTTCAGCGCTGAGTTCGGATGCTCCGTGGCGGTGATAAGTTGTAGTAGGTTGCTCAAGAAAATTAATCACCTGTAACAAGTAATTCAATTTAATTAACAACAGAAAATCTAATTCTAGTCAAGCTTTATTTTTTAAATCAGGGCTTACTCAGATGAGAAGCACGTGGCTTATAAACAGCATATAAACATTTATGACCAGTCAGTACTTGAATTCCTGACAACCTTAGAGAGTTGGTGTTGCCCAATAATTCGACTATGAAGGTCAGATGGTAGTCGCTACATGTAAAACACATAATATTCATCTGGTTAGGCCGAGTGCCGACCCTAACCCATTTAACAATAGGCTAAGCAAGTAAATAAGTTCTGTAGAATATAGATATATAATATTCGATCAGGAACATGGGATATATTAAAATGATCTTTTAGTTACATCAATTTCTTTTACACTAGCTGTTTCTCGCGGCTTTATTCGCGTGTGGAAGTCTATTATACA